GCCACTAGAGGCTGGATCAACCCTCAGTGAAACATCTCTGAAACTGCTATGTTTTCAGCTGCAGGGTTAAAACTAGAGGGACCTGGCACCCAGACCACTTCATTGAGCCGATCCTTTGAAACAGCATAGGAAAAGGATTTGGGTTCAAAAGATGTAGCGGCTAGGGCAGAGGTTTTGTAGAAGGGGGCCAGGGCAGAGGTTTTGTATAAATGCGCCAGTTTTGTAGAAGGGGGAAGACCAGTGCTTTTGTAGGAAGGGGCAGGTGAGAAACTTCTAGAAAACTCCTGCCCTGCCCCTTTCTACAAAGCCCCTTGTCTCGCCACTTCTAGAAAACCCCTGCCCTTCACCCTTCATATAAAAATCCTGAACACTGATCACATAAATTTCATACACTCCCTACACATAAAAACCCTGCACACCCCCTTAATTAAAAAAAACAAAAACACTGCACACCCCCCTTAATAAAAAACAGAAACCATGCACAACCCCCTTAATAAAAAACCCTGTACACCCCCCTTAATAAAAAAAAAACCTGCACACCCCCTTAATAAAAAACCCTGAACTCCCCCTTAATAAAAAAACAAAAACTTGTACAACCCCCCTTAAAACCCTGCACACCCCCTTATTAAAAAAACAAAAATCTGCAGTGCACATCCTCCCTTAATAAATAAAATACTGCAACCCCTTAATTAAAAAAACCCTGCACCCCCACTAATTAAACCACACCCACCCTCTAATTAATCCACCCCCTTAATTAATCCACCCCCTTAATTCATACACACCTTAATTCATCCATACCCCTTAATGAATCCATCCCCCCTTAATTAATCCACATTAATTAATCCACCCCCCTTAATTAATCCACCCCCTTAATTAATACACACCCCCCTTAATTAATCCACCCCCATTAATTAAGCCACACTAATTAATCCACACCCCTTAATTAATCCACCCCCCCTTAATTAATCCATATCCCCTTTAATTAAACCACCCCTTAATTAATCCACCCCCCTTAATTAATCCATATTCCCCTTTAATTAATCCACCCCTTAATTAATCCAACGCCTTAATTAAACCATATCCCCCTTAATTAATCCACCCCTTAATTAATCCATCCCCCCTTAATTAATCCATATCCCCCTTTAATTAAACCTCCCTCCCCTTTAATTCTTTAATTAATCCATTATGAACCCCCCTTTTAATTAATTTAGTCCCATCACATAAAATGACTACTCACATTTTGATGATGCCTTCCCTCCGAGACCGACCACTGGGTGCCTCAATGCCCGGATCTTGGATCCTTCCGCTGAAGATCCGTGAAGGCGGACTGACGGCGCAGCGCTGCGTACGCAGTCATCACTCCGCGTCCCGCAACACTCCTCCCCCTTCTCATCCTCCGCAAAGGTGCTGCGGCTGTACGCAACGTAATGATGGGGGCCAGGGAGGTGACATATGACACTGGAAATCATGGCACCCCCCTAGTCAGTGGAAGCCGGGGCGGCCCCCCCCCCTCCACCCCCTTAGTACGACACTGCCACGGATTCAGAATCAGAGAGTGCAGCCAATTACTTTACTATATATATATATATAATATGTGTATGTTTATATATTGGTGGGCTTAGTCGATATCAGTGGATTGTTGAAGGATGATCTTTTTAAGCATACAGGAACTCACAAGGATTACAATCCCTGGAACACCCGCCTATGTAGTATCCTGGAAACCTACCTTCTAATTATCCCCAAAACAAATACGCCTTAATATTAAATATATGTACATTTAAAGGGACACTGTAGGCGCTGTACCTGCTTCATCCCATTGAACAGATTATAGTGTTTGGAGTCCCCTGACACCTTCCATTCAGCATTAAACAGTTTTTAATGTATTAATGCTAACAAGAATCCTCAGAGGGCCACCTATCCTGTGCTGCTAGGGGTAATGAGGATGCATTAGCCTGAGATGCAAAAGGTGACTGTTATTGGCTAAGAGTATCATTCGACTGCTTGCAGCCTATCAGGGTGCCCAGTTTTGGCCAGGAACCCTTGTTTAGTAATAACAGGGGACTCAAGGCACTATTACCAATTCAATGAGATGTAGTAGTTATAGTGCCTGCAGTGTCCCTCTAAGCACTAACTCAAAACGTTATACTTACAAAATATGAGGAGAAATGAAACCAGACTGTGAGCAAATGGGAAGGTTAACACCTGTGTCAGTGCCTACATAGTTATGATTTTATTGTTGTAAGCATTCAGTGTTGCAGAGATGTTACTATTATCCTGTAACTCTTCTGATATATGGTACTTTAAGCTATCAAGTAACCTATGTGTTTCCTTTATGAATGTCAATGTATACTGTCAGTGAATGTATAGTATTTTATGTTTATCTTATCTTATTTTTTATATACGTTCATCAACAAACATGTGAAACAAATACTGTTATTAGAATTTTATGGTTAAATCCTATCTTCATATTAAGTTCCAAAAAAAAATTAAAAAATCCCTTATTCTGGCAATGTAAACAAAATTATAATAAATCTTAATTGTCTGCTATTTTTTTTTTTATCCAAACATCCTGATCCTTATTGTTGTCTGTAAGAATGTATGTTGTAATGTAGAGTTGTGTAAAACGTATTTAGACTGCAATGTAGAGCACAACCTGACTTGTATAAATAAATAAAGAAAATGTTTAAAAATTCATGCATTTTACCATCTGGAATTCACACCATTACATATGAATATCGACATTTGAGACAGAGGTTAAAAGGTATAGCTGACATATACATACAGCATTGTACTGGAGGAAATTCAGTATTTGTATAATGACCCCCATTCTAAACGGGTTTGTACATTTAGTGGAGGCCAAACTTGAACTACAACTCACAAAAATGTGTTTAAATGTGGAGCCTTCATTTAGATATAGTAACCGTAATGCCTCAAAATATTGTTAATCCAATATTAATATTTTATAATAGTTGGATGCAATTATATAAGCAATGGATTTATAAGCATTGGCATTAAAAAAAAAAAATAGCAGCACTCAAAATAATGTCCTGAGTAAAAAAAATAAAGTTCTGAATGCTTCAGGAAGGAGAACACACTTATGCCATGTGTAAGTATTTTGCCCAGAAAGACACTGATGTTAGATGGCTTCTACCAATTTCGAAGCCATTGCTAATCAGCTAATATTCTAATGAGTGAACAGGCAATGCAGAGTATCCGCTGCTGCTTACAAGGCCAATTTTCATTGTGTTTCACCAGTAAACATTGCTTTAATCACTCAATTATTAAAGGTTTGTGTATGTATGTCTCTGCCTCTCAAGGGGCGTTACTAGGGTGGAGCGGATGGTGGCTTGTGGTCCAAGTGGGTTCTGGAAAATCCTTGGTCTAATTTTGACCCCAATTGATTGTTATCCCCAACTCCCAAGGAATACTGGAGGATAATTAACATCTCCAATTACAAAATTTGTGACAATGTCTCTGTAATGTACATGTAACGGTTCCTTTAAATGGTTCATCTCACTATTACTATACCACTATATAAGAGCCTAATTGACGTTCACTAATTCACCTATTTAAACGCCCAACGTCAATATCCCAGTGCACAATTAATGTGTCTCTTCACCAGTGTGCAAATGACACCTATCTTTGCTCTGTAGGTGCTGTTATTCCCAGTCCAAATAACCTTTCTAATTCCCCATAAAACGTAAAGTCCTTTATACTCCGTTTGATTTCCACGTTGCCAAACCGGACTGAACTCTGACCATTCTTACGGATAATTTTACTCCATTTGCCACTTGTTGCTGGATTTCCCATTGAATTGATTCTTTATTGTCGGACTGGATTGCACTTTTACTATTCTCTAGGAATCTCTCTCTGCTTCTGTTACCTGATGCCGACCCGGACTGGACCTGACACTTCTTCTGGATTCCTCTTTTGGACTGATTGATTGAAGCCAGACTGGATGTGACTTTAACCTTGCTTTTGGATCACCCATACTATTGCCTCATTGCTAACTTTCCGGACTGGACTTTACGACTCTTCTGGATTCTTCCAATTTGGATTTTCACCTAAATTCAGCAATAGGAGATTGCAACTTCATCTTGGTAACAATCCAGTTTCTCCAAGCCTGCCATCTTAAACTGGTGAATAGTCTTTATTTTTAATCTATTTGGCAATTTGTTTAAAAATATTACAGTACATTTCTAAAATGAATTAAACAGAACAGTGCGCTCTCACTTAATTCAAAGATTTGGAGATGATGTAATGTATCGAACATGTTAGGGTTTAACCCCTTTAGGACACATGACGTGTGTGACATGTCATGACTCCCTTTCAATTTCACTGCAATTGCAATTTCACTGCTCAATTCACTGTCATTTAGGAGTTAAATCAATTTGTTTCTGTTTATGCAACCCTAGCCACACCTCCCCTGGCTATGATTGACAGAGCCTGCATGAAAAAAAAAATGGTTTCACTTTCAAACAGATGTAATTTACCTTAAATAATTGTATCTCAATCTCTAAATTGAATTTTAATCACATACAGGAGGCTCTTGCAGGGTCTAGCAAGCTATTAACATAGCAGGGGATAAGAAAATCTTAATTAAACAGGACTTGCATTAAATAAAGCCTAAATAGGGCTCTCTTTACAGGAAGTGTTCATGGAAGGCTGTGCAAGTCACATGCAGGGAGGTGTGACTAGGGTTCATAAACAAAGGGATTTAACTCCTAAATGGCAGAGGATTGAGCAGTGAGGCTGCAGGGGCATGTTCTATACACCAGAACTGCTTCATTAAGCTAAAGTTGTTCAGGTGACTATAGTGTCCCTTTAAGGATCATCGAAGAGCATGACATAAGGTTGGCTTATAGGAGGGACTTCAGTCAATGCATGTTTGGAGGGACCATTACATCTAACCTTGGGTTGAAGCCGCTTCTTCTTGCCACTGCTCTATTTAAGCTTCAATTCCTCTGTTTCTCATTTTAATTTTGATGTCATTCCCTCCCAGGAGCTCATACCAGAGAATCACAAGAGAATCACAGCAATGCTTTGTATGTATTTTCCAAACTGATTTATAATGCATTAGTTTGAAAAATACTTTTCTAAATTGAAATATATATGAATCAAATATAATAGCTACATGTCCAACATAAAATACTCATTTATTGTAAAGCGCTACGGAATTTGCTGGCGCTGTATAAATGCCAGTAATAATAATAATAATTTAAATTAAGAAAATATTATTGTAATTCAAAGAAGGAATTTCTGTAAATTAAATGTTACCATTCCGTCAGTCCAGTACTGTAAATGTTGTAGAATTTTAAAACATCACTGGACCAAGGTCAGCTATCCTCACCTATAAATAATGCTTTTGACAGACACAGGACTTGGAAAAAGAATTGCATGTGACAACACAGAGCAGCCTAAAGCAGAAACAAATATAGCTAGCTCCACAATGTTTTCTTAAAAACTGTAAATGTTTTATTGTGTTTATCACAGACTCTGCATTAATATTTATTTTTTGGGTCAATTGATCAAATATAAACTTTTAGTTTTATTGATTAATAGAGTATTTGCCTGCAGCTTGTTCTGTCCAAGGAATCATGCACAGTGTTTCCATCTAAGTGATGTATTTTGATTTTTGGGTGCCCTGAGTCTGGTCAAGAGTATGCTCCTCTAGATTTGCCTTTTACCTTTGCACATTAGACATACATAGAAACATGGTCCCATGCAAGAGACATACCAGCACACGCAGCATCATACATGGAAGCACACAATCACACACGTGCACATACGTGGAAGCATGCAATCACAAGTGGTCATATACATAGAAACACAGTCAAACGCATGCCAAGACACACACCAGTACACAGAGAGTGTCATACATAGAGACACACAATCACACACACACAGGCATATACATAGTGACACACAATCGCACACAGTCACATACATAGAACCATGGTCAAATGCATAAAAAGACACACAGTCACATACATACAAACACACAATCATAGCATGTGCACATACATAGAGGCAAACAATCCCTCACAGGCACTTACACAAACACACAAAAAACAGTCAGTCACATGAATAGACAATCACACACGCGCAGCCACATATTCACACACATAGAACAGATTAAACCCCCCTCCTCCCATGCAGCTTATCTCTATCAGCAATGGGGGAGGGGTGGATGCAAAAACTGGAGTCAGTGCCTAATGTCTAATGATAGGGAAGCAGTGTAGATGTTCATCAGCAAGCACAGACTCTTTTCTCTTCCACCTGCACTGCAACTGGAAACAGATGACAAGATATCACTCCAAATCCAGGTGGCCACACTGTATTGAATCTGGTCCTGGGTGTTATTACAAGTAGCAGGCAGGGCTACATTTTAACAGGCAGTGGGAAGAGACTACTCTGATAATACTATATAGTAAAGGCTCTGAGCACACTACAGACATTCTTTGTAGGTTGCAATCACCTAGCATCTACAGATTTCTGGTGTTAGCCAAATAACCGTGGTTCTAATATTTGGGGAAACATTTTTAGAAAGTTATATACCCCAAAAAAGACCATCAGATTATTTAGAAATATCTACGTGAAGGATGTACCAATATTTATCAGGGTTTGGTCACACCTCCCTTCAGTGACAATAATTATATTTCTGGTTCTATGCTAATATGTCAAACTCTGTCTGAAATATTCTGAGATAAAATGTACTACATAATCCAAAACATTTCTGTAACAGATGAACAAGTAAGCAAAAATGTCAAAATACGTAAACAGAATTTTTAATATCTCGTTAGAGCAATCTACACACTACAGTGGTGTTTTGTCTTTCTATGCTATCTATACTTTGCATGTTTCCTGCACGTGTTTATAATCCTTTATTTTAAAGACCTAGGGGTTAATGTGATGGTTGTCTCATATGTTTGCATATTGTATGTGTGTCAGACGGTTGTATCATAGAAAATGATACTTGTTATTTTAATAGAATGGCATGTCAGCCTTAGTTGTAAATGTAGCAAGCTGCCAACAGACTATAATTGATTGAGCTAGATAATTATTTCCAATATGCTGTCATTAAAAGACCGACGCGTTTTAAAATGATCTATCTAACCTAGCATACATTATTTTATTTAAATGATACCAGTGCAGGAGGTCAAAGTGATACAATTTCTTAAAGAATCTTAGAAAAATTATTTGGATCTGTTACATTTTAAATAAGGCATTATAAATTCACACTTCTTTTTAACGAACGCATGCCTTTTAAGCAAGGAGTGCTAAAATAGATTGACATTCAAATACTGATAACACATTGGCAAAACCCCAATCAAATTTACAAACGACCTTATTACAGACTGAAAAAAATACAAAACTAAATCTAAACAGCAAAAACGCCCTTTATATGTTTTCTTATATTATTAAATATGACTATTCGTGTATACTTCAATGTCTTTGTTTTATTCTCATTTTTGTAGTTTGGGAACTTCACTGAGATACCAGCTAAATGTCAGAAAACCTGCGGCAGTGATACAGTCTGGCTTAATGCCATCGTAACAGACTTAATTTACAGCAATGAAAGGTTTCGAGTCCTCTGGCTTTGTGGCAGATGCCTTTTCGGCTTGGCAAGAACAAAATAAACAGTAATATCACATGAACTGAACGAGGACTAAAAGTGCCACATGGATCTGTAAACAACCTGACTTGGAGTCCCAGATGGATAGCAAATCTTGTTTTGGTTCTATCACAGAGAGTAGTATTTAATGTATCTCCCTCGAATGACTGTTATAAACCGACAAAGTACACGGGATTCTTTTTATAGAACGAAGAGAGCAACAGACCATTTGCAAAAGGAATCCGGAGTCAGTTTGCTAAAATGTATTCATAATGTCAAGTGAAATCATTAGTGATCTTCTTAAAATATTTACGGGATGCATTATTCATGAGTATTGTATTTAAGTAAATGTTTATTTATTTACTTGCTTTGTAATCCACTACTTGTAGGTTTACACTTAGTGAATGATTTCAAGTGAAAGTTTGTTTTATGAAAATCCTTTTGGAATTGTCCCTGTTTGATGTGACCGAGCAAGTCTGGCATGTGTATAATACATTAAATATGGTATCCCTATTTATCTCTGTGGTAGTGAATTGAAGATAACAAATAATAAAAAGGGATGAAAAATAAAATGGGATTAACTGTTCTTTTCTAAAAAAAAATCAGCCAAATTGAAGGCCAAAATAACCAGATACGAAAAATTCTCCCTGCCATCAATATTTCCAGTCCTGCTACTTTGTCCTTAAATTTTAAATTCACCTTTAATTCACTTTAAGCAATGCCCCTATCCTGACATGTCAATCTATTTATCTATTGGCACAGAGATCTAAGTTCTAAGAGCTACAGTGTTATAGCTATTAGCTTATTTAACAGTTCCACTCACATCCTAAGAGTAAATGGAACTCCATCTCGGGGATTAAATGCACATCCCTTAAACCTCTGTGGGCAAGGGTTTTTTGGGATGAAATCAATAACCATAATGTAAGAGGCTCCTGATTAATGGAACTTTTCCAGGGATGGAATAGGCAGTCTGCATATATACCTTGGCTGTGCAGAAAATGTAAGTATGGTTATCGTTTATTATTATTATTATTATTATTATCAGCATTTTTGCAATGCATTATTTATTTTATACATTAAAATGTGGTTAACCTTCATCCTGGAGTTTCCCTTTAATACCGTAAACATTTTCAGTAAAAGGGACACTCCGGTCACGAATACAACTTTAATGCTCGTGATAGATTTTGTCCTCATTAATATGCTGTATTATTTTTCATGCTCAAATCTGTATAGTTTTTGCACAAAAAAAACAATGTTTTGCAGAATGTTGCCCCATAAGCCTGCCTCCTTAGCCACGCCTCCTTATACCAGAAAGACTTCCTTATCAAAGCTGTGCACACAGTCTGAGTCCCAACAGCACTGAGTAAGTGGATTTTAATTCACAGTCTGGCTGCAGACAGTCAGAGAAACTGCAAACAGTCAGTGATATCCTTACTATATGCCTCCCTGGGTGACTTCTCCTTCTAATGAAGGCTGCTTTGTAGTTCAGATCATTCATTACTGTCAGTGACTGAGCTGTGTGCATATATTTGATAAGAAACTCTTTTTCAGGAGTGAAGTGGCGGGGGTAGGGGGAAGCTAAGAAGGCAGACCTATGGTGTAGCATTCTGCAAAAACAAGAAATATTTGAGCATTCTAAAAAAAAAAAAAAAATACAGCATACTAATGAGGCCAAAACCATGCATTCAAAGGTATTAAAGTTGTTTTGGTGCTCGGAGTGTCCCTTTAATGAATGTATTTGTAGAAGAGTCAATTAGCAATTGCAATTTGTCATACAATATTATTTATTTATATAGTACTTTACTAACTAGGAATTGTGTTTGTTAAATTGATATACTGTTTCCATAGAACTAACAGAATGGCATTGTCTCTTGAGTTGGCAAAACATTAACCATAACAAGTTTCGTACAGTTATTCCTTACTTACCCAATAATTTATGGTTATATATTCTGGAATAATGAGCTCTAACACAGAAATAAAATCTACATAAGAAAGCACATATAGGAAAAAGATTTAAAATTTAACACCTTTTAAAATGTTAATGTCTTTAGAGATTAAAAGGGAACCGATGGTTCCCTGAACATGATATCACTGAAAAAAACAACGAAAATCTGATCTAGTTTCAATCTTTTTATGTGGTGCTGCTTTTCTTAAAAAAGTGTATGAAATATTTAGCAAGATACGTCATAAACGAGTTCAGACTAGGCACAGCCAGGGCACACATCGCAAATGATTAGGTAAAAAAGAAACATTGTTTTGTTTTTAAAATTCTGTTTATGTTTTCTCTCTGATGATTGGCAGGTGCAAAGGGCAGTGCTTATAACAATGATTGACAGGGAGCTAAAATGGTGTGTCCAAGTGTAGGATAAACAGGTGTGAGTTTCTATATTTAATTTTATTTTTCACATTTTACAAATACATAATTGTTAAATATAGGGATAACTAAACATGATATATAAAAATCTTTCTAAGTGACATCCTCTTTAAGTCATGTATTCAATGCGTAGGACAATAAGAATTTATTTACTACTAATTTAACACAAATACCCTTCTCATTTTAGATAGATGTTATAGATTAAAATTAATTTAACTAACAACTAAAATGTTAATAAACAACACACAATAAATTGTATAAGTATCTGGGTTCCATCCACAAAGGTCCAAATTGAGACCATCTGTATAATGAGATGTTTAAAATCAGATTAAATAGCCAACTTGGATAAACATCTCATGATAGGCTATTCACTAACGGCAAGTAAGCTACAAAGTCACATATTTTCACCTGAACACACAGCTCGTTCAGCTATTTAAAGGGACACTCTAAGCACCAGAACATTAGCTTAATGAAGTGGTTTTGGTATATAGACCATGCCTCTGCAGTCTTACTGCAGTTAAATCACTTTGTTTATGCAGTCCTAGAAACACCTCCCCTGGCAGTAACTGACACAGCCTTCCTAAACACCACACATTCTAGGTATTTTTATACAACAGTCTGTTTAATCTAGAATTTATTATCTCCTGCTCTCTTAATACCATTCTAGACTCTGCAGGAGCCTCCTGTGTGTGATTAAAGTTAAATTTACAGAGTAAACCATAAAAACTAAGCAAGTTAATATCTGATTGAAAATGAGTCACAACCAGGGGAGCTATGGCTAGGGCTGCAGAAACAAATGTAACTTAACTCCTAACTGGCAGATAATTAAACAGTGAGACACAGGGTCATGATCTATACACCAAAACTACTTGATTAAGCTAAAGTGGTTTTAATAAAGATAAAAGGATGAGACAGCGCTTAGTTAACTTATAGGCAGCAACCTTAAAAAGGGATCCCTCAAACCCTTTAAAATAAGGTGAATAAAAAACAATAAAAAAAGGCTGCACCACAATAAATAATAAAAAAGGCCAATAAAAGGTCCAAAAAAGAGAGAAGATCCCAATATTTATCCTTACAGATAGTCTTTGGTGGTGAGGTCTTCTACTGATGTGGTGGATCCACTTGGTATGAAAGATAAAAAGAGAGAAGGACAACCAATGGTGCAGTATGTAAAATTCAAAAGTGAATATAAAGGAGTGATAATATAAAACTCACATTTACCAGAGCTAATATCCAGCTCTGGAGTAAAGCGCATACAGCGGTTTTTATCCCCGCTTATGGGATATAAATGGGTTCCTCTCCGTCAAAGGCAAGAGCAGGCCAACTGCTCTGTGATGATAGCTTGGGTGGATTGATCCCCACCTAAGGATTTCTTTTAGTACAGGAAACTTCCAGGGATATTTTCCAATGGTTTTTATAAAACCAATAAAAAATAAGTAAAATAATACTAAAAAGCCAGGGTAAAAGGAAAGGTTATGTGTCTTTAAAAAAGTTGATTGGCACGAATAGATGACCAAAAATACTTTAATATATATAAAAGAACACAAATATTAAATATCCATAACGCGTTTCGTCAAAAAATACTTTTTCAAATGGATTTACCTATGATACCTGGCTAATAGATGTTTTATAAGGATAAAGCTAATTTGAATTTGGCGCCAAAATTGGTACAACCAATTAGAAATAAAAACATAATTAAAACATTAAATTGAATCCTGTAGATTCCACCTTAAAAACATAGTCCGAATCCACCCCTTTCTTACACAAGATGCTTGTCCACGCGCTAGTAATTTTTTGCATGGATTATTGTAACTCTCTCCTAATAGGTCTTCTCACAAGCCGTATTGCCCGGCTACAGTCTGTAATGAATGCTGCCGCCAGACTGATTTTCCTCTCACTCCTCTCACACCTATCCCCTCTGTCAGTCCTTACATTGGCTGTATCCTATAGGAGTCAATTCAAATTACTAATCCACACCTATAAAGCACTGACCAATTCTAGCCCCTCCTATATCTCTTTACAGATCCATAGGTATGCCCCTTCTCGTTCTCTCCGCTCTGCCCATGACCTTCTCCTGTCCGCTGCTCGCACTCGTACGACCAACTCACGCTTGCAGGACTTCTCGCGGACGGCTCCTTTCCTTTGGAATAGCCTTGCTATGACCATCAAGCTCTCCCCTAGTCTCCGATCCTTTAAAAAGTGTCTCAAAACTCAAAGCCCATCTCTTTAGGAAAGCTTATGGCCTCCCAGAGTAACCTCTACCTCACATACCTGTCTCTTGCTCTCTCCTAAAGGGCAGAACTCTACGCTCTCCTCCAGCTCTGCTTCACTCCTACCTTATTTGATTGCTATTTCCTGTTCTGTTGTGTTTCATGCCCCATCTCCTATAGACGGTAAGCTCGTTTGAGCAGGATCCTCTTCAACCTATTGTTCCTGTAAGTTTTTGTAATTGTCTCATTTATTGTTAAATCTCCCCTTTTGATAATGTTGTAAAGCACTATGGAATATGCCGGGACTTTATAAATACCAGTAATAATAATAATAATAATAATAATAGTGAAGAGCTCAAACACTTTCACCTGTTTCCATTCCTTTGCAGTGACTCATAGTCTTACGAGTTGTTGCTACAGCTACAACAAATAATAGCCATGAATACCTAAACAGAGAACGTGTTATATCAGAATCTCCAGGGTGTTTAATTATCTGCTTCTTATTCTTGAAGTGAGTTTTCCTAGAAAAACGAAAGCGTAGGTGTATTATATGATTTACACAAGGAGAAGCTGTAAGGTATAACATGCGCTGCCTACACAGATGCTTTACATCACTGGGGATTCCCGAGCTCAGGAATTTGCATATATACATGTTTATCATTCATTTGTAT